GTTTGGGGTTTAGGGGTTCAGGGTACAGCGTTCCATCGGGCGTGTGGTGCTTGTAGTCTGAACTGAAGGCTACAGTCGGATTTCTGGTACCGGCCTGTACCACCCAGGCAGGTAGCAGCGCTTATGTTGGGGTGTTGGGGCTTAAGTTTGTTCTCCCAATACCCCGTAATTAAGAAATATACCTTAAGTCATAATATTAAGGTCCCTATAATTCCTTATTTAGGGGCTATTTGGGCTCTCTGGGAAGTTTGTTCTAAAGGGGCTTCATGGGCAGATTCGAGCCTTGCAGTGGCGGTTTTAGCCTGGTCTTGCAGTACGTCTGTTTTCTCCCTCCGTAACCTGGCAGACTGGACAAGCAAGATTTAGGGCTTAGGGTTGAGGGGTTTGGGGGTTTAGGGTTTAGGGTTGAATGACATCGGTAATCAAATGAGTATAGGGCCTATAGGGACTCGGAAAAAGTACGAAGCCCGACAAATCTCCCTACGGAAATATATACTCAACTACATGTACAGATACAACGCCCGAAGTATCCGAAGTGAAGACATTAACCGACTGAGGGTCTCCAGGAAGTATCTGCTCCAACCAGAAACTGCATCCATCCGCTCGCGCGGTGAATCACAAAAGGCAAGGAAATCATCCCAAAAATCCGCGGCTGCACTGTCTAAAAGCCGTAAACCGTTTGCAACCAGTAAAACACGATGGAAACCCGATACAACCCTATAACAACCTTTGCAACACACGCAGGTAAGCCTCTGAAACAAAGTGACGGTTCAATTCACACACTGCGAGACCCCTAACCCTAAACCCTAAACCCTAGACCCTAAACCCTAAACCCTAGACCCTAAACCCTAGACCCTAAACCCTCAATGAAACTTTTTGTGGGCGCCCCCTTTCTGTGGAGAACTGGGCCCCTGAGCGCTGCGCCCTAAACAAACACCGAAGACCCGACATCCGAGCCTGGCAGTTAGATAAGATCTAAGGGTTTTGGGGCTTTTGGTTTAGGGTTTAGGTGCTTAGGGGTTTAGGGTTGAGGGGGTCTAAAGGTTTTGGGGTTTTGGGTCGAAGGGTTGTGGCTAGGGTTTTGGTGTTAGGGTCATGGGGTCTAAGGGTCTAAGGGTTAAGGGTGAAGGGTTACATGGTCTAAGGGTTAAGGGTGAAGGGTTTCTAAGGGTTTTGGGGTTTAGGGGTTTAGGGGCTTTGGGTGAAGGGTTTATGGTCTAAGGGTTAAGTAACCGGGTTAAGGGTTTAGGATTTAAGGTCTAAGGGTTTTGGGGGTTTTGGTCTAGGGTTGTGGGGTTTAGGGTTTTTGGTGGTCTAAGGTTTAAGTAACCCCGGTTAAGGGTTGTGGGGTTTAAGGGTTAAGGGTGAAGGGTTTATGGTCTAAGGCTTAAGTAACCGGGTTAAGGGTTTAGGGTTTTTGGGGTGTAGGGTTTTGGGGTTTTGGGTTTAGGGGTGTTTTAGGGTTTAGGGTTTAGGGCTTTGGGGTTTTGGGGTTTTGGGGTTTAGGGTTTAGGGGCTTTAGGGTCTAGGGTTTGGGTCTAAGGGTCTAAGGGTTAAGGGTTTAGGGTTTTAGGGTTTAGGGTTTAGGGGTTTAGGGTTTAGGGTGTTGGGGTTTAGGGTTAAGGGTTTATGGTCTAGGGTTTCGGGGTTTAGGGTCTAAGGGTTTATGGTCGAGGGTTTCGGGGTTTAGGGTCTAAGGGTTAAGGGTTTATGGTCTAGGGTTTTGGGGTTTAGGGTTTAGGGTTTTGGGGTTAAGGGTTTTGGGGCTTTGGGTTGAGGGTTTTGGGGTTTAGGGTTTTGGGGTTTTTGGTTTAGGGTTTTGGGGTTTAGGGTTTAGGGATCTCTAGGGCTGGTTACTACACGGGGTTCCTTTAGGAGTTTGGGTGACTGGATGTGTTTTTCATGGCTTCCGGGCTCCAGCCGATCGGCTTCAAGGGCAAGCCCTGATCCCTAAACCCCAAGGGTTTGGGGGTCCTTCACAGGGTTCCTTAAGGGGTGCTATAAGGGCTACTGTGAGGGTTTAGGGTGGAGGGGCCTTATAATAATTAGAATAGGCGTTTTGGGGAGATAGTATGCTTTAACGGACCTGGAACCACCCAAAATAGTACAGGTAATTATAGGGTTTAGGGTTTAGGGTTTAGGGTTTAGGGTTTATGTAAGCCCCTATATTACTCGCCCGAACTCATTGGACAAGTACTACTGGCTGCGGCTGCCTCTGCCTGCTGAATAAACTTCTGAACCATTCTGAACCCAAGTGAACCAAAATCTGAACCCCAGAAAAAACCCTTGACCCATACACCCAACCCCTTCACACCTGACTAAGTAACGTTATAGGTACCCTATTTGGGATTATAGTTTGTTATAAGTATGCTTACCTTACTTATGGCCCCAGCTACCAAGTCCCAATATCCTTGAAGTACGTAAGCCCCCAAGCAGTTCATGCCTCCTTCGCCTAAACCCTAAACCCTAAACCCCTAAACCCTCAAGAGAGCCACGCCTTGAACGCCACCGAAAAGCCCGGAAACCCGAAGGACAGGAACCCTAAATCCCAAACCCTACGACACCCTGAAAATGCCGTTAAGAACCGCTTTCATACAAAGAACGCAAGAAGAACCCTAAGCCCTGAACCTAAAACCCCAAAACCCAAAACCCTAAAACCTAAGCCCTAAACCCCAAAACCCCTAAACCCTACACCCGCATGCGGCGACAAGGGGCTGTATGAGCCGATCGATGTGCTTTGAGACGCCGAAATCCGTCGGTCGGCCCGGCCTTTCATGCTTTTTGGGTTGTCTCATAGGTTTTTTCCCTCTCGCATGGCAGAGAACTATGCTCACAGGCGAGGTTGTCTAAAGAGCTTCCACAAGCATCCAATTCTATGGTCTCTCATAGGTTTAGGGTTTAGGGTTTAGGGTTTGAAGGTCCCGAAACGGCACCAACAAGGGTCGCTAGACGTATTCCGAAAGGTCTGGGCCAAGGGTGTAGGATTTAGGATTTAGGGTTGCCATACTTTTTGGGTTCAGGGCTTTAGCTTTGCATTGAAGGTCCCGTTAAGTGTTCGCTCAAGGGGTTAAGAGGTTTATAAGCTTGTCAGTCAAACATAGA